ACAAGCTAGATGTCATAGAATTGGTCAAAAAAAAGAAGTTAAAGTTTATCGTTTAGTTAGTAAAAATACATATGAAAGATATATGTTTGAAAGAGCGTCTATGAAATTAGGACTTGACCAAGCTGTTTTAGCTAATATCACTACTTCTTCAGATCCTAAAGATAAACAGCAACCATCAAAAGAACTTATAGAAAGTTTATTAAGAAATGGTGCATATGGAGCTTTCAAAGATGATGAAGAGTCATCATCTAAATTTTGTGAAGAAGATATTGAACAAATTCTTGAAAAAAGGTCATCAAAAGTAGTTTGGAAAGGTGGAGAAAATTCATTAGGTGGTTCTTTTTCAACTGCAACATTTCAGTCAGAAACAGGAGAAACTATTGATGTTAATGATGAACATTTTTGGGAAAAAGTTTTACCAAAAGATAGAAATGTATCTCAACTCACAAAAATATTTAATGATGTTTTTGGAGGAAGAGCAGGAAGAACGTCACAAGCACGAAGAAACTCATGGATATTAAATGAAAAAGAACAATATTTAAAAGATGTTAATGATTTTGCAAAACAAATTATTGAAGAATATGAAAGTAAAGGAAAAATAAGCCCTGATAGGGATGGTCTTGTTTCACTTATTGAAACTATTCTCACTGTTAAAAGTTATTTTGAAGAAGATGAAGTTAATACCTTAGAAGAAGAATTAGAACAATTAAAAGTTACACGACATAGAAGAACTACTTTAAGTAGAATGGTTAGTACAGACATTGAAATGGATGAAGATGAAAATGAAGAAAGTCTTACAAAGAAAAAGAAGGTAAAAAAAGAAGAATTAAGTATTGAAACAAAAATCAATTGGTATAATTCTGTTATTAATTATGGAAGAGTTAATTGGATGATTTTAAGAGATAGGGCAAGAATTAATGAAGATTGTCAACAAGATGAATTACGAATATTAACCATACGATTCTTAAAAAATTGTATTGCTGCTTGTGATATAAATGGTATTGAAAAGAAATATTTTGTTAAATTACTTCTTGCGTTCCATGACGTGAAAAGAAAAAGAAGAGGAAAAGATGAAGAAATTAATGATGAACATCATTATACTTTAGAACCAGAATATTCTTTTATTACAAATGATGTTAAGTCTTGGGCAGTTAAACTAAAATATATTAATCGATTATGTTCATTATTTATTCACACCGACACAGTAATTGGAGCACTTGTTGACATTCCAAATCAAAATTGTAATTTCCCTGAATTAAAGAAATGGTGGAATGATGAGTGTAATAAAGATCTTGTGATTGGAGTATATAAATATGGTTTTTCTTCATCTGAATATCTTCAACAAGACCAAAAGTTATGTTTTGTAGAACTTATGAAAGATGATGATGATGAAGATAAACTTGAAAAAGAAAGTGATGAACCTGGAGATAATAAAATAGTTATTAAAATACCTAAAGAATTTCCGTCAAATAAAGATCTTGACAAACAAGCAAAAACAATTATTGCTTGGTTAGATAAGTTCATTAAAAAACAAAAAAAAGAACATGCCTATGATGAAGAACAAGAATGAAGTAATTTTTTATAAAAAAATTATTATTGTTTAATTGAAACTTTTATAGTAACGTTTTTAGACAATATTTTATATTGAAAGATTTTTTTATTTGACTAGGAATTAATTATAAGTTTGTTATGAGTAATTGCATCTAAATTAAAATAAAATCTATCAGTGATAAAAGAAAATGAAATTATGAGAGTTGTACTTAAGAAAAGAACCTTGTAACTATAAAAAAAGAAAGTTGAACTAGAAAAAAAGAGATAATATACAATGAGCGTTAAAGAAAAGAATATAACAACATTATTAAAATTAATTAAACATGGTTAATTCTTGAAGAACAAAACAAAGTACATCGAAACAATTTGTTCTAAATTATTTTAGATAGTATGAAGTCTAACTAGTCTTCAATGAATGAAGTGCTTTATATTAACATTTCTTTACATTAGATGAGTTAAAGTTATTGTTTATATACAATTAAGAGATTATGTTATAACATCCTTTATAGATATATTGTTTTATTTATTTAGGTTGTGTGTTGTTCGTTCGATTTTATCGCTATTGATTAGGAAATTATCAATTTAAACTAAAATTTGTCAATTAAAATAAAGTTTCCATTTTATTAAGTTGATTTGAGGTATTACTTTTTGTTTTGTAGTGGAATTTATTTGTATTTTTTTATTTGAATTTTTAGTTAAGAAAATACAAATGAAAAAAAGAGCAATTTATTTACAATTAATCAATGATTAATAATTAAATTAAGATTAAAGTATTTATCATATATGTTTTTTTGTTTTAAGAATTTAAAAAAAGAATTAATTGAAACGGGAAGTGAATTTAATTTTGTGGTTGAGTGAATTTATTAAGAAGTGAGGCAGTACTATCGGAAATAGAAATTAGAGTTGACCTATTAGAAGAGAGTATACTACGGATCATACCAAATAATACTTTTATATAAGACTTCTTTTCATAGAACTCTTTAAATAAAGAATCAAAGACACTAGCATAGTTACCGCTTAAATTCATCTTATCTATTGATGGTATTTGAAATGATTCATTACAAACATTCATTTTAGCTAATTGTTCAATATAAGAATGAACAATAATTTGACCAAATCCTTTAATAGAGAAATTCCTAATAAAAAGATGATTAGATGATAAAATGTTATCATCAATATTAATTGAATGAACCAAACGATCTAATACCATCATATGTCTTGTTAAATAATTCACATCAATTTGAGCATAATTAAAAAAGACTGTAATTTCATCAACAGGATAAATAGAATATTTTGGGAACCATCTATTTTGTTTAAAAATAATATTTGGTACACTTGAATTAGATGAAGATAATGTAAGAAGAGTATTTTCTTCCTTTTCATTTGATAACAACTGGATGTTTATCATTTTAATAGTAAATGTATTAATTTCAAATGATAATTGTGCTTGTTTTCTTTTATCCATTTTATACATTCCATTTTTAATACCAACATTAATTAAAACTAATGTTTCAATATTTTCATGATTTAGTTCTTTATCTTTAATGTTTAGTTCAATTTCTATTGAACTAAAACTAACGCTTAACCATTGTTTTATTTCTTGATTATTTAATGAAATTTTAATTTCTTCATCATTAATTTGATATTTAGAATTATTTGGTTTTGAAGGGGTTGTGTCTTCAGAGCCAAATCCCATCATCTGAGTGCCTTCAGGTTCTTGTAGATCAGACTCTTCTCCAAAAAATTCATTTGTTTCATCCTTAAAAAATAATCTATCATCTGGAAATGTTGATAATTTGATAGTGTCTTTATCAACTTTTCTTTCTATTCGTTCAATTCCTTCAACAATAAATTCTTCTTCATTTATACTATAATACTTAAATGATTGTTTTTTATTGTCATTCTCAAATGTTTTTAAAATATTATTTAAAAACTTTGTAATTTCTTCAATATTATTTGTAGTGGAAATACGTGTTGGTGGTACATCAATGTTCCAAATATCATCGTTACTTTCAATGAGAATAACATCATCTAACCTCATTATTATAGAGTCATTAAATTTTAATTCTTTTGAATCAATTAAAATTCTTTCTTTTGAGGTATTACCAATAATTCTAATTAACCCATTATCTAAAGTAATAGAAGAGTCACAAAAATGTAATTGTAGATGATTTATTTGAAGATGAATTTCAGTTGGTCTTGTTAGAATAAATGTATTGAAATCATGAATAAAAGAATAGTCATAATCTTTATTATTTTCTAATACAGTAATTTTTCCAATAATAAGTTGATCAATTGGAGGAGTTAAACAATACATAGTTTCAATAATAGTTTCTTTATTTTCACTACGAATTTGATTTAATAAATCATTAAATGATTTATATTTAGTAAATGTGTATAAATTACCTTCTATTTTAATTATTTTTAAATCAATTTTAATAGAAAGTATTGAAACAAAATTTCCACTACCAACAAAGTTAGGTACAAATCTTAACCTAATAATTGCATCTTTGTCTGTGTAATTATTTTTGTTATCTTTAATTGTTATTGAATTAATTTCAATTTCAATAAAATCATTATTCATTATTTGTTTGCCTTCTTTATTATTAAATGGTAGAATACATTGGTCGAGTGAAGATGATTTTATTTCATTATTTACATCATTTTGTGGTATTTTAAATAAAAGATTGAACACTGAAAATATTAAATGAAGTTCATTAAAGTCTAATATCATAACATTGTTAATAGTAATTGAATAACAATGATGAGAATATCGAAGATAAAGATCTAATTGATCAAGAACATTTTCATTTAATGTATAAAATTTATTTAATGTTTTTAAATTATTTGATGTTTTAATTAAGCGAGGGGTTATTGTTTCATTAGTTGGAGTAAAGAATTTTACATTTTGTGTGTTTAATATAGCTTCCTCCCTTGTTGTAATTTTAAATTCGATTAATTGCATTTCCATAATTTCTATAAAATCATTTTCATTTATTTTTTTCTTAATTGTAACAACTGTTTGATCTCCATCAATTCCACCATTAATTATGTCTCCTTTTGGAGTACGAGACATCCATAACCCTTGTGTATTTTGAATAACAATATTTATTTGATCCATTCCAACATCAATTAATATTGAATTAATCATGAATTTAACTTCTTTATTGATATTAAAGAATTTCCTAAGTATTTGTTCTAATTTTAATATTAATTGAATGAATGAAATAAACTGACTATTTTGGTTAATATCTTTAATATGTATATTACATGTGATTTGTTCTTCTGTTACTGCAATAGAAAGAACTTCAATATATTCTTGATTATTATTAAAAATATGAATTGATTCAATACAAATACCATATTTGCTTTCATTATCTGATTTAAGTAGTACTTGAATATTAATACCATTATCAATATTAATATTCATTTTAATTGGTTCTTGACAATTCCAAATAAGCTGAATTTGAGGTATTTCATTTACTTTTGTTTTAGGAGTTGAAAAAAACCAACCAGTTAGTTGTGTTTTTAATGTCAGTATCTTTACAAACTCTTGTTTAAACGTATTAATTTCTTTAATTTTTTTAAATATTTCATCCCCATTTATTATTTCATATGGAATGTTCCATTCAATACTTCCTATATTAATATTCATTTCTTTTTTTAATGGATTTTGTTCATGACCAAAGAATGAATCAAATAATGATTCAATTCCTTTAATACAACATTTTTCTTTTTCTTTTTTTACACAACACTGAATTTGTTGATTATTATTTGTATTAATAATAATTTCTAATTCATTAAATGACATTGTTGGTTGATCATTACAAGAAATAACAAATTCTTTTATCATTAATATTAATTCCTCTTTATTATTATTCCTTATAACAAATTTTAATGAAGAAACAGAAATCTTTCCATGTTCATTTCTCATACTCTATTTATTAACATTATTATTTTATTTTTCTTTTCATAATAACATCTTACAAACTGTAAAGATCTCATTAAACTTGTTTGTTTTAAGTATAGAATTTTCATTCATCTCTTCTTCTTTAAAGTCAACTTCTAACTCTATTGTCTCTATTTCAAATGTTTTATGGTCAATATATTTTATATCACTTACATATGATTTATAATATTGAAAATACTTCGGTAAAATGTCCTATAAATGAGTTAATTATTATCTTCAAATGAACTTTTATAAATTCTTTTTTTATAAACAAACCTTCTTAATGTTATTGTTTTCAATGATGTCTGTTAATTTTTTTTCCATCTTTTGATTTTCATTAGTTTTTTTTTAATTAGTTTATTAAATAACAAAAAACAAATATATATTTGTTTTTCTTTTGTTTTATTTTATCACTCATTAAAATAAGAACCTCTTCTCTTTCTTCTTGTGTCTTTGTTAACTATTTTTTAGTATTAAAGTATTATCTGTAAATTTATTAAAACTACTCTTTTTTGAAGTTTATACTAAGTTCTAAGTTATTTCTTGATTCTATCTTTTTCATTCATCTTCTCCATTCAATAATCTTGACAAAATTAGTACTAAAACTTTTTATAAGTCAATTACTTATAAGTTCTCTTTTAACTATGAATGGTTTTATTTAGATATTAATAGAACAAAGATATACAGACTTCATTGTATATTTTAGTCTATATAACTCAGCTTATAGAATCTTTTCTAGTTAATTTTCTTTTTTTTACTAAAACAATAACTAAATTTGTGCCTTTGATGAAAACCCCCCAGTAGTTTGATTCTTTTAATACTTTTACTAGACTTTCAGTAAATCTTATTTGTTGTTATGACTGAGTATTCTTTCATTCCTTCCAATGTTTTATTGAAATAAAAACTAAAAAGATAAAAACTTTTTATTAGACATAATGCAGTATAATATTAAATCTCTTTTCCATAAGTATAAATGATATACTTGTTATTCTTTTTTTTGGTAAAAAAACTCTTTAGTTATTGGTAACAAACAATATTCTATGATTGTATTAAAGACACAAGGCAAGTTTGTTCTTCTTGAGAATGGATTTAAATAAGATACTATAAATCCTTATAATAGTATAACTTATTAGAATATTTTTTTATAAAATAGTTATGAAATTAGAATGGAAAATATATAATAATGGAAATATTAAGAGGTAAAAAATGAGTCTTAGTTTGTTTTTTTATATAAAGAATAATTTTAAATTCAAGGAGAATTGAATATATTATGGAAATTTAGAACTAAAAATAAATTTATATTATGATTCAAAGAGAGGAGATTCACTCATTTTGTGTCAATGAAATTCTTCCAAAATCAGAAAAACGCAATTCTTTGTGAAAAGTGAATTGACTGCATTAATTATAATAAGTGAAAGTAGAGACTAACAAAAAAATATTGACATATTAGAGTAAAAGGATTAGATAAAAGAAAGTAAAAGAAGAAAAAACAATTTAAAAAGAGAAGAGAAAGAAAAAAAAATTATAGGAGAAAAACAAATTTCTTTAAAAAATAACTTTAAAACTAAAACTTAAAAAAGTAATCGAATAATTTTTAAATGGAAATATTACCTGAACCAAGTCTAACTCTTCTTGATGTTTTTATGTTATATCAGACATCAACCTTTCCAGCGACTGTTAGAAAAATTAATGAAACTGAAAGTTTTTTCTGGAATAAAGTTCTTGAATTAGAAACTCCTTTTAATGAATATTTATTTATTAAAATACTTACTGCTATTCATAATCAATGGTCGTCATATACAAGTAATTATCAACAACATTCATTTGAATCTAATGATACTAATGTCTTCACTCGAAATAGAGGTGTTAGTGATGCAGATAAAAAAAATAAAATTCTAATAGACACATCAATATCTCCTGTATTTGCTTCGGATGATCATAAACTTTCAAATTCATCGTCTTCTAAAACTCATTTAATTACAACATCAAAAGATAATTTAGTAAAACCAAAATGTCAAACTCATGGTGATTCATATCTTCTTTCTGCTTCTTCTTCTTGTCCTAATAAAACTAATGACCATTCTGAACTTCTTAGAACAGAACAAATTGGAACTCCTCCTAAATTTTTAGAACCACTTCCTAAAATTTCTCGTCCTACTTTAAAACGTACAATACCAGGAGCTTTTTCATCAACAAGAAATATTTCATTTACACCTCATGATAAACATAAAAGACCGGCAATACCTGATAAAAAATTAACAAAAAGTAAAAGTATGGAATGTATGCTTTCAGCATTTAATTCAGAACTTGTAACAAGAGGAGAGATTGCATTAAGAGAAAGAAGAAGAGTTGGAATTAATGCCTTAACAACAAAAAGTTTAGCTTCAACACAATTTACAAATGAAACCACTAAATTAACAAATAATACAAGTGAAAGTAAAAAAGATAGTAAGAAACAACAAGAAGATGATAATGAATGGCAATTATTTTCATCATTATTACAAAGAAAAACACTTAAAAATGTTATTAAAATTCCATCAACAAAAGAAATAGAAAGAATGATGAATACAGATAATTTAGTTGAAAAATATTTAAGAGGAAAATTTAATGCAATTCAATATGAAGGTGGAACAACAAACATTTTAATTAATGGAAATAAAATTGCAATATCAGCAGGAGTATTAGTTGATGTATTAAATGGAAATTACATTAATAATTTTATTTATAATCAAAAAGAATATTATGAAGGATTACATACATTAGCAATTTTATATATTGGAACAATTAGACCATTTTGTTCAATTAGAAATTCTTCAAGAATAATTGTTTCAGCACTAAAAACATTTAATAAATTAATTCCACCAATTATGGCATTAGAAAGAAGAATTTCCAGAATGTTTACATTTGAAAAAGGAAATGAAAATATTATTAATGCATTAGAATGGTATTCTAAAGAACTTATTTGTTATGGAATGTATATTGAAAAAATTAAAAAAATACGTGAATTAATTCAATTAACTTATAAAGAAGATGTTCTTCATTCATTAGAAATTGCTATTAATGAATATGAAGAAACTCATGAAAAAGTAAAACCATTTGAAGAATTAATTGAATTACCAATACAACATTTTGGAAGATTAGGAGCATTATTATTTTATTTAATGAGTAAAACATCAGAACCATCTCAAATTATTAAACAAACAATACAAAAATATATTCAAGTATTATCATCAATTAGTGATCTTTCTTTAAAAAAATTAAATCAAATAACTGGAATGGATTTAAAAAAAAAAGGTAGATATTTAATTCATTTTGGTGGTGTAAAAATTACATCAAAAGAATTTAAAGGAAAAGAATGGAAATTATGTTTATTATTTAATGACATTTTACTTATTGCTAAAATTGATGTAACAGAAAAATATCGTAATGAACGTGAAATATTAACTAGATTTGAAAATGCACCTTCAGGTAATGATATTAGTTTATTAAAAAAATATTATTGTAAAGTAGAATATAATTGTGATACTTCTAAACTAATTGTTTGTTCAGATAAAAATTACTCTTTCACATTAAATACAATGATTTGTATTTGTTATAATATGAAAGAAAGAGATAATTGGATATCTTCTTTTCACTCTGTAAAAGTCTCATTTTTAAATTGACTTAATGTTATATTAATTGTTGTTATAAAAAACAAAAAATATATATATTTTATAATTAAAACTAATCTATTAATTTGAAAAATTGAGAAACGAAGAGCATTCGAGAATTAATAAAGAGACAAATAGAATTTCGCTTTTAAACTATCAGCTTCTACATCAACTTTTTTTGATATTCTATTCATTCTTATTAAACGAACTTCTTCATTCAAAAACAGTCTCATGACTGAAGAAACAACCTTATCAAGTAATTTACTAAGTAATGAAAAAGAAGTTGTTGATGAAGAAGGTAATGGACAACCTGAACCAATTGGAACTGCTGGAATTCCTGGTACTATTTTTAATTTAGCAAATACAGTAATTGGAAGTGGAACATTAGCTATTCCATTAGCTTTTCAATATAGTGGATATATTGGAGGAATAACCTTATTATTAGTAGCATGGATTCTTTCCGCTTTTGCTATGTATTTGTTAACATACGTTAGTGCTAAAACAAAATTATGGACATACAAAGATATTTCATTAAAAGTAGGTGGTAAAATAATTAGTTATGTTGTTCAAATTAGTATTTTCTGTTATACAACTGGAACATGTATTGCTTATCCAATTTTCTTAGGTGGGTTTATGCCACATGTTTTTTCTACATTTGCAGGAAGTACTATATTAGTTGATAGACATTTTGATATTATGATTGTATGTTTTTGTATTATTATTCCAATTTCATTCTTTAAAAATTTAAGTGCTTTAAAGTATTGTTCTTTAATTTCATTAGCTTGTATTATTTATACTACACTTACTTCTTGTATTGAATTCTTTACAACATACCATGATAATATTGATAGTCATCCTCCTCAAGTATTTAATCTTAGTGTAGAATTTTTAAGAGGTTTTCCTTATATGACTTGTGCTTTTACTGCTCATTACAATGTACTTCGTTTCTATTCTGAATTAAAAAATAGATCAATAACAAAAATGAATGTTATTGTTGTTTCATCAACTCTTTGTTCTTTTGCTGTTTATTTATTAATTGGTTTATTTGGGTATTTCTCTTTAACTCCTAACATTACTGGTAATATTCTTGTTGATTATCCAACAAGTGATATTCCTATGTTCGTTGCTTGTTGTTCATTTTGTATTGTAATGACCACTTCATTCCCATTAGTTCATCATGCTCAACGTGATTTATTTGATAAGTTAGTTTTCTCAGGATGGCAAGAATCAAATATTCGTAGAATTACTTTAAGTTTAGTACTAATTTCTCTTTGTATGTTCCTTGCAACTGGAATCGAACAAATTTCAACAGTACTTGCTTATAATGGTTCTATCTTTGGTGCACTTGTTGTTTATGTTTTCCCAGCATTCTTTGCATTCCGTGTGGCTACTGGATTACTCAAATGGGTTTCACTAGGAATTATGATTATTGGGTTTATTCTTGGTGGTATTGGATTGACCATTACTATTTTAACCCAATTCGGTGTTTTTGATTAATTAAAACATTCATTTTATGCTATTTTTTTTCTTTTATTGTTAAAAGGAAATAAAACAAATCTAAATGATGATTGATGGAAGATTTTCAATTAATAAAAAAATACAACCAAGAAATATATCTTTATGTACTATAAATTACTCTTTAATACAAATCGAGTTTACATCAATATTTTTAAATAACTTTATTATTTAATTATTTTGTTATTTGAACTTGTGTTAATGGTTTTGAAGTATCTTCATCACTTGAAGATGAATCAGAAGAAGAAAATGATGATTCAATAACTTCATGTAATTTTTGATAATTAATTTCTACATCTTTATGTTTAGCTGTAGTAGATAAATTTGTTTTCATTTCGGTTTCTATTAGAGGTTTTTTTGTAATAATCTTTTCATCATCTTTTTTTTCGATCTTCTTTTCATGTCGGTATCGGTAAAATAAATAAATACCAGCAATTACAATTAATAATATCCCAATAATAACACATACCATTATCCATCCTATTAATTGTAAATTTTTACATCCAGTTTTATAACAAATTGATGGTGAATATTCACATTCATTTGTTCCAATACATTCATCATATTTGGCACAACATTGACATGTCTTAGCATGTTTTTTTCCAATTATAAAATCAACAGCAGGAATTTGATCGTTAAGGCATGTTTTTAATTCATTTTGACACGTTTCACAAATACTTTCTACTGAATAAGCACCAACAAATAAAAATAATATAAAAGTAATTTTCATGGATAATTCTTTCTCAGAAATAACTTATTCTTCCCAGATCTTTAGGGTTTTTAATCTTTAACAATTTATTCTTATTAAAGAAAAAAAAAAAGAAAAAAAATATTTTTGTTTTATCACTTTATTAAAACTTTTAGATTATTAATCTTACTATTAAAATTTCATTACCTTTTATTTAATTAAATAAAATTAACCAAAAACTTTAACTATCACTTTTTCAATCAATTCAATGCTTAGTCTGACTCTGATGATGAGGAACTAGAATTTGATGATGACTCTGAATCTGATGATTCTGAACTTGATGAGTCTGAAGAAGATTCAGAAGATGAACTTGAAGAACTTTCCTTATTATTTTCTTCTTTTATTTCTTTCTTCTTTTCTTCTTCTTTAACTTCTTTCTTCTCTTCTACAACTTTCTTTTCTTCTTTAACACCCTTTTGTTTTTCCTTTGTCTCTACTTTAACTTCTTTTTTATTTTTTGGTATTTCATTAGTTGTAGCATTTTTCTTTCCTTCTTTCTCTGATTTAATATAGGGAACTTCTTTCAAATATTCAGCTGGAGTTTTATCATTTGGTTTACCATATTTCTCTAACTTACCTTCAGCAACAAGTTTCTTCTTTTGTTGGGCATGTGGTCCAAGTCCCCATTTACGTGGATACAAATCTTTATCCATAATAACTCTCTTAATAGTAGCAACAACACCATATTCACAAGTAATCATTTCTTCTGATGTCATCTTAGCAATACCAAGAGCAATAGCTTCACCTTTAGATGTCATAAGTACAACAATTTCATTCATAGTAATTCCTTTAGAATATCTAAGTAAACCTGGAACCATTAATTTAGCACCATAACAAATAGCATTTACACTAGAGTCTTTAACAACAATTTTTTTGTATTTAGTTAATAAAGTTTCAAGTGGTCTAACACAATGTCTAATATAACTTTCATCACCATGATTTTCATATAAGTACATAGCATCGAGAACATCATGTAAAGTAACCATATTATCTTTCTCAGTTAAATTACCTGATCTAACTCTTCTTAATTCTTCCATATGAGCACCACATCCCATAAGATATCCAAGATGGACACAAAGTGTTCTCATATAAGTTCCAGCTTGACATTGAGTTCTAAACAATGCAAGTCCTTCTTTTTTATCAACTTCAAGTAATTCAGTATTATAAATTGTTCTAATTCTAAGACTTCTTTTAACTGCAGCAATAACTGGTGGAAGTTGGAAAAGAGCACCAGTTAATGTATTAATAACAGTTTTAACTTGTTGTTCATCTGAAATAGCTTCATGGAACTTACAAATACAAACATATTCTTTACCTGCATCTTGTTGTGATTTAACAAGTCTTGTAGCACGATCAATACAAACAATAAGACAACCAGTAACAGCTGGATCAAGAGTTCCTGAATGTCCAGTTTTTTCAACTTTTAAAATTCTTTTTAACCAAGCAACAACTTCATGAGAAGATGGATTAGCTGGTTTATCTAAGTTAATAATACCATATTTAAAATGTTCAGAAATTGGTCTATTAATTGGTGAATTACCAGCTGAAGCAGGTGTATAATGTCCTGTTTTAATTTCAAGTTGGTCAAAATTTTGAAGAAGTAATGGCCATGATGAATAATCTGGAGTTGATTTTTCTTCACTTGGTTTAATTACAAAGTCAGACATGAATTTAATCTATTTGAATTTTTCAGGGTTTTTTATTTCAAAATAAGGGTTTTCTCTTTTCTCATTGGTTATTTTTTCTTTATTATTTTTTTATAATTTTTTTATTATAAAATATAGTTTAATTCAGGGTTTTATTTTTATAAAATAATAAAAAAACAAAATTTACTGTAATTTTTTGTCATATTATACTTTAACGTTATCTCTTTAAAAATTCAGAAGAAGAGAGGCGTTGTGAATATATGAATATATAGTAAGAAATAAAAAAAAATAAAAAAAAAGAAATGTATGCTCAAAACGAGATGAGCACTGGTGTTTAATTGAAATAGAAATGTTTAATTATTTTGAGATTCTTTATTTTTAGATAATCATTTAATGAAGAAAAATATAAGAAAACTTGAAAATTCCCTTTAAAAATACTAATGAAACAGAATGAAAAAGCAATTGGGAGGAGTTTAAAAGAAGTTCCAACAATTAATAAAATACCATATCCAATTTATGATATGCTTGAAAAATTATCAAGTAAATGGGAATATATTTTAACAGAAGGAATCTTTAGAGTACCTGGAAATATGACAGATATTATTGCAATAAAAAAACAATATGAAAATGGAGAAAGTGTAAATTTAAATAATGTTCAAATTTCTACTGTTGCAAGTCTTCTTAAAAATTATTTAAAAGAAATTCCTGGTTTTTTAGTGAATAATGAAAATGTTTGATTTAAATAATAACAATATTACTACAATAACATAAATTAATACTGTAGAAAGACTTATTTAATGCTACTATTTCAATGTTTCAAATGGATGATTCATTAAAAGAATTGGTCATTAAAAATATGAAAGATGCTTTATCATTTTTACCATTTTTAAATTATATTACTTTAAAACATGTCATTTTTCATCTTCATTTAATTGCACAATATTCTCAATTTAATTTAATGGATTCTAATAATTTAGCTACTGTATTTGCTCCTGTCTTATTTTCTTTAAGTATTGAAGAATTAATGAATAATAAAAACTATGCTATTATTACTATTAAATTTTTAATAGACAATTATAACGATATTTTCACTGTTTGTTGGTTTATTATTATTCATACAATAATGATTCTCATTAGTTAGACAAATAATAAATTTATAGACGGAAGTTATCTTGAACCATATAACTATCAAATCCCATTTGGGAAATGTCCAAAAGAGTTATTACAATTATCAGATAATAATCCTCAATCAATTCATTAATTCATTTATTATTCTTCATTTATTCTTTTTTGTTTTTCATTCTCTAAAAAAAAAGATGCATTACAGGAGACACC